CAATATTTCGCAGTTGACGGTAAAATGACTTGGTAATGTTTCGAATTTGGTGATCTATGTTCAGCCCAGAGTCAAAGAAAACACCTAAATGTTTCACAATTGATGAGACTTTAATTTCATTTCCGTCAAAATTGAAGCTAACTTCATTAAAATTATGAATTCTGTGTTTTGGGGCCAAGATAATAAGCTCAGTTTTTTGATTTATCTTAAGAACGTTAGAGCGCATCCAAGAACTTATATCGGAAAGGCAAACTTGCAAACGAGATGCTACGTCTATCCAGTTGCTAGTAGGTGTTATTTACCATATATAGCTGAGTATCATCTGCATAACACTGGATACTCATGTTGTGTTTTCGGCACATATCACAAATTGGCTTAGCAAAGAAACTGTAAAGCTTTGGTCCAAGAACCGATTCCTGGGGAACACCAAATCGTAGATGATAGTCTCTAGACTCAGATAAACCTATAGCAATGCGTTGGTGTCGATCGCTTAGGTATGATCGTATCCATGACAAGGCCGCACCGGTTATGCCAAACGAAAATTCTAGGCGATTGATAAGAATATTTTGATCAATCACATCGAAGGCTGCAAATAAGTCCAGCAATAACAGAACAACACATGTCTAGTGCTGATGTTATGTCATGGTTGACTCTCATGAGAGCGGTCTCCGTTGAGTGATGAACACGGTATGCTGACTGTTGTCTATCATGCAGGTGGTTTGACTGTAAATGATCTTCAAGCCTAGAATTTACAACCTTTTCCAGGATTTTAGAAATAAATGGAAGGTTCGAGACAGGGCGATAGTTCTTGAACACTTCTTTGTCTAATCCCTGTTTTTTCAAGAGAGGTCGAACAACAGCATTTTTCAGTGATGTTGGAACAGCTGATTCTGATAATGATTTATTTATAATGTTTGTGATTGTTGGAAGAAGACTGTATACACAAGATTTCAAGATGGAAGTTGGTATTGGATCTCACTCACATATTTAGATGGAGAAGCCATAATGATCTTTCGAACCTCTGCCTCTGATGCTTGTTTGAAGCAATCAAGCTAATTGCCTTCAAATCGTTTGTCCGCTCGTAGAACATCCATTGAGGTCTGAAAGATGATCTCTTAAAATGTTGATTTTATCCAGAAAAAAAGTGCCAAAAGCATTTGGAAGGTCCTGTTCACAACCATTAGAAGGAAACATAGGTTTTATTTGCATACCTATAAGTGAGTTTGTAAGTTTATATAATTTTTTTTCTGGTCGTTTCCTACCTCGTCGATTTTATTTGAAAAGTATATTTTTTTCTTTGTTTCAAGTATTAGCCTTGTTGCTTGAATGGATGTGTCTCTGAACATCTGTCTATGAACAGTGAGGGTTGTTTTCCTCATCTGTCTTTCAACCCGACGTTTTTCTCTTTTTGCCGTCCTTAGATCCTCCGTGTACCATGGTGTATTAGGACGAAGGGTGATTGTTCTTGTCTCCTCTGGGACATGTTTGTTTGGGACGGCGCTTAGTTCGTGGTCATAGCCAGTGATGAGATTCTCCAATGAGTCGATTTTATCCCTAAGACCTGGCGAAGAGTCTAGGTCAGTCCTGAACTTTTCGATATCTAGTTGTTTCATCCTACGAAAAATTACTGTCTTAAATTTCGTTCTTTGGGAGGCTTATAAGCTTGGATGGCTAAATGATCACCTGCAGCGTTGCCGTTGTTGTCGCATAACACAGGATCTTGTATGGTAGGTAGACCTCTTAAGAAAATGAAACGATACTGTCACCTCTTAGATTAAGGTACTAAGCTACTTTAAACAATACCAATAAGTTTCCCAATACACCCCAACCCCCCAAACCGATCCCTTTATATACTGTTAATTAAGACCCTTCTTTAGTACTTCAAAATTATGAACTAATTATCCGTTAGTAATAGAGAAAAAATAGAATACTAGTAAAGAATGTAATGATATGTAAACACATGTAAATAACTTTATTAATGTATAAACGATATGCTTTTAAAAGGAAGCAATTCTCAAATATAATTACCTCATCCTCCCCTGTTGCATTCTGATGGGAAATGTAGTTGCTTCCCAAAATAAAGTGAGCATGATTAAATATTTTATCCTACAAAAATGACAAATATATATTATAAATCATCCAATACTGTCAACCTGTCCGCAATTTCCGTTAAAAAAGGGGTTGAACTAAACAGTCCATTCAATCTCTCATAAAAATCTATGATTTGAGGTACGTTATACTTTAGATTTATATTGCATCTTGTTAAAAGGGCAATTTAACACAGTTAAAATAAAAAAGAGAATTACGAGTATTCGATATAAAAAATTGCCTCGAAGATACTAGTTTTATCTCAGAAAAATGCAGAAAAATGGTATTAGTAATTCATCAAGCTTAGACCCTAAACATTAAACCTATATTTGGAAACTAAGGAAGGTCCCAACTTAAACGGATCTGGTTTAAATTACTACATACCTCTTTTTATATTTACTTTAGATTGTTGATCATATGGAATTTGATATACTGGTGTATATTAATGCAGAAATTAATATTTTGCCATCTGCAGCTCTGATTAACTCAATTTTGGTCATTGTATGTTACAACACAGACACACAATTCTTAGTTGCCTTCATGCTAACAAGGAATTGTATTTATTTTCATACAAATTTACTTAGCTTGAGATATATAATTCATTTTAAGAGTGTATCATTCTTTTTATATTTTTCAAAATATGCCAAAAAATTTCGTTAAACTTGATACTACTAACTTATCTGATCAATCATGATAAAACATGTTCCGTATCAATTATGTAACCTTAGATAAAATCCTATCCAAATAAAAAGGCATCATATAAACATTTGATAGTTTTTATGATTATGAAAAATTAAGGTGATGCAGAATCATCATCGATCTTTTGATTTATGTGTTTTGGTGTAAATACTCTACGTTAAATTTTGGCTGTTGAATTCTGAGGGGTATGTACTCTGAAATAGGTTGTAGTGTATGACAATAAGCAAGCAAAGGCATTTCTTTTATGGGCTTTTTAGTTGTTTAATTAGTTACTTGAAAACAACCTTAAACAATGCTTCTTCTACGATCAGCCGCATCTGCATACTAGTTCAGATAAGTTGGTGGGCAATGGACATCATTGTGTGTAACTGACAATAGATTGGTCAATGAACATCAACTTTACATAATGAAATTAGTAAAAGCTGTTAAATATCTAAGAATATAGAGATTGGAGTATGTTGTAGGTTTGTGAAATTGAATACATTAAAGATGTGTCACTGTTGAATACTCAATTTATTTCGACATTATTCCCATTTATTAGTATTAGCATGTAAGAGAGGAATGTTACCTAATTTATTACCTTAAATTTTCATAAGAGTAATTTCCATTTATTTGAAATTATTTTTAAAAATAAAATATCTGGTAGTATTTTTAATTGTCATTCTATTTCTAAAGTTTTCATACATCTTTCCACCACAGTATTTAATGATATCATAATATTTCTTTTTAAATGCTTATTTACATGCTTTATTTTGCATCCCAGTCATTCCTATCAAAAGTTATCAAAAACTCAATCTGAGCAGGTTGATTTGTTTTCTTATCAATTTATGAATTTTAATTTCCTTTTAAAAGGACCAATATGAAGATTCAGACATCAATCCTGAAATGGTAGTTAAACCTTCTTACCCTAGTGTGACTCTTACCCTAGTGCGACTTTTACCCCAATGCGACTCTTACACCTTGTACTAACATAATTTGTTCCTTGCTTGTGACTGAACCCAGCTACTCCAAGACATATGCGTGATTGATTATTGCTCTTTTACTCTAATGTTAATGAAGCCAAATTTCTACAGCTTGTTGTGCTTCGAGCATTTGATGGCCCTGAGACAAAATGCTCACTCTAAAAATCAAATCAGGAATTTCCGACATTAAAATTGTTGTTTTTTAAGTCATTGACCAAGTGGACAACAACAGTTCCCATGGTTTCACAGTTGAGAATCATCATTTAGAGTCCCCTATCCCCCTTTTATTAGAGGAAAAATCAGTTCATATAAACCTAAGACCCTTTATTTTTTGGTAAAATACTCTCTGTGTATGCCTTTATGCATTTTATTAGAAATTTTCAATAGACTAGCAAACAAATGAAACGATACCGAACTGTAAATGACTCATAAAAATGATGAAATTAACCATCCATTCAGTACATTCAGTGCTTTGATTACTGCAGAAGGGAAAATGACGCAGTTCTCGTGAATGTTCAATAGTCAATGCCATTTAACATATTTAAAGATTATGATTTTTTGTACCTTCTTCAGGCTTCTTTACATTTTTGGAAAACAAAACTGAAAACGGATAGTATGCCTGACTTATTATTTCTGCTCTTGACCCCCCCCCCCTTTAGCGAATCGGGGACTGTTTACGTTTTACTAAGAATAATTACTTACATTAAGAACCCTCTCTTCACTGCACGCTAAAGAGTTCTGATTCTAAGGTATTTTTCTGCAGTTAGAGTGATCGGCCCTTAGATCTTAATTATAAAAAATACAAAGAACTTTACAATATATTGCTCAATTTGTAACCAATTAAAGTATTCTTAACATTTTAAAAGGCCAAGACAAATTAATTGGACGTGTTATTTAGATGTATTTTTTCAGCTGAAGTAATAAACAGTGATTTCAATTCACTGATACTGTGTTGTCTTTGAACATTTTTCCTGGGGGTTAAATGCCACGCATCATACAGTGAAATTCCAGAATGATAGGTTGTGACTACGGGTGAATATAATTATATATCTGAAAGGACTTCTGATATCCGGAATGGAGGGTTACTGAAATAAACTCACTTATCCGAGACAAGGCTCGTATAATTGTTGATATTACTTGCGTTCAGATATCCGGAATGAAGGGTTACTGAAATAAACTCACTTATCCGAGACAAGGCTCGTATAATTGTTGATATCACTTGCGTTTTGCACTCTTCTTTTTTTCTTTTAGGCAATGATGCAATGCATGCATTAACTGTCAACTTATCTTCCCTTTATGTAAAATTACGACATACAAATGGAAGCCATTACTTCCAGTATTACTCTGACTTCCGGATCAGTGGCGCTGATGATGACTATAGATTACATCTGGGATCTTACTCCAACGGGACAGCAGGTGACAAGATATATTTAAAATAATAATCGGTCAATGTGATATGGGGTAATAAAGAATAATTTGAAATTTAAATTTTTTTGTTCAAGAAATTCTATAGTTTTCATAAAATTAGATAGATGAAAAAAATAAATACATTTCAATATTTTTTATGTATTATTTAAACGTCCTAGTAAAAATAATTTTTCATTTCAACTTTTAATTCCAATTCGTTTTCTCTCTTCTCCTTTAAGAAGGATATGGAGATAACGAAAAGTATTCAATATCAAAGTCCTTAAAACAATACAAAACAGGAGCAGAGCAAACACGGACCTCCGAAACATCAGAGGTGGGATCAGGTGCGATGGATGAGTGAGCATCCCTTGCTGACTGATCACTCCCGCCGTGTGCTCCTTGTCATGATCGGGAAATAACGATAAAATCCGTCGTCAATTCAATGTATAAATAATGGGCTAACAATTAGTAAGAAAAACGTCAGTCAGCATTTGACTCAATGCTAAATTGTATTTGCTGACAAGGTCATTGTATCGACCATAGACCTTAAGAAATGATGATGACTTATCAATAATTGACCTCGTTTTAGAAATTGTTCATACGTAGTGCATAATCTTGCGTATCGAATCAACTGAGATATATAAACTCCGTATGCATGTGATAAAGGTGAATTGCTGCATAAGTAAGGAAAGTTGGCGATAGAAGAGTAAAACTCATCACGTTTATCATATAGCTTGGTTGTTAGATTACCATTGACGTCCTTTTTAAGTCCAATGTCCCAGTTTGAAATAGATGTTTAAGACTCTATGGTATCTTTTATCCCAAGCTCACCAGGATATATCGTATCAACGTAGGACTTGAAATTACCATTGTTAATTGACAACGTGTCGTTATATCTAAATGTCGAGTTGAAGGCCACATCAAGTGTTTTCTTCTTTTCACGCATAAGATTTTTCAAAAATTTTTTATGAATATAAAAATAGGTCCTCTTATAACAGAGCGCAATTGGTACCCATATGCATGTGAATTCAAATGGATTGTTGGAAAACCTGGTCTCCAAAAACCACATAGATATTGTCAATCAGAAACTCAAGCACTTTTTTGATGTCAGCTTCAGAGTACTTGTGTGTGCAATCAGAATGTACTTTATCAAAATAATTTTAAACATGACAAATTACCAGGTAAGTAAATTTACTAGTTTCATTTTTATTGAAAAAACAGCTATCAATGATATCAAAAAGCATGGACTCTAATTTATCGTTGGGAATGGTTGTGTATGAAGTGGAAAAGGCGTTAGTTCTTCAGCTGTTAGTTTTGGTAAAAAGTGATTTCAAATTGTCCAAAAGTTCTTCGGAATTTTTGAGTATCCACATCTGATTCACAGCACTTCTTGAACATATTGTTGCACAGTTCTCTCGAATTTTTTCCTTCACTAATGTCAATATCTTAGTGAGGAGTAACGAACGAAGCTTAGTTGAACAGCTACTCATGATCTTATTAATAATTTTGTTGTTTTCTCTTCTAAATTCTTTTTCAATAAATTAAATTCTTTCTCTAAAAAAAGGCAAAACTGCATGCTGATAGAACTTCTTATGTTCATCAGACGAGTTATTTCTTAGACGGTTAATAACTCCAAAATTTAACAGTTAAAATATGTCTGATCACAACATGAATTAATTATTTGACAATACATGTAAAAAGGTCTACATCTTTGGCACGACATCGATAGCTGTACAGCTGTCTTGCAATTTGTTGTGTATAACTAGTAACAAATGATCTTTTGATACACCGAAGTGTAAAATCTAGTGGAGTGCCGAAAGAGTATTCCATGCATTGGTAGCGAAACAGGTGCAAATGACCTGCCGCTTCACTTAATTCAGCAGTAATAAAACCAGACTTATAAAATAGTTAGAAACAACAACCTTTCTGAGTGGTGATAGTCTGTAGATTTTTTGTAATAGGTAAAAATTGAAATTCTGTGTTTAGAAATAAGATTAAAATTAGCCTGACCACCTGCTATACTCTCTTTTTTCCATTGAAACCCTCTTCTTCTTACATTTTGTATTACAAAATACAATGTAATTTGAGAAACACGCAATATTTAAGAAAATTAAAGTAGATTTAATTCTTTAGAGGGCAGTCAGCAGACAACAAGAAGTATACAGAATAATCATAATGGGAGCAGGGTTCTCCAGATTTGAAAAATTTGACCATGGAGGAAGCTGCGCGACGGCAAAATGAGACCGAAAATATTAATATCATCAATGATTTCCAAACCCTTATTCATCATTGATTGATTTCACTATTTTAACAAAACTTTGATAAACCACTGCAACTCAAAATAACAACTACTTTTTAAAGCTTAGAATATAAATAAAAATTAAAATAAAAATTAAGTATCTTACTTTACAATTGTTTTAAGAACATTTTGAAGGAATTTCCCCAAAAAATTGATAGAGTAACCATGACAACATTTGATATTCAAAAACGTATATAATAATACAGAATTGAAGTTTCTTGTTTTATGAAACGTTTTATTTAAATTTTACTCTTTTTAAAAATTACGAATCGGTGGTATTTTTTAACAAGAGGCCCAAGGGCCACATCGCTCACCTGATCATAGTTAGTTTCCGGAGGATATCCATGAAAACTTTTTTTCATTAGAAAGTATCTGGGATATTGTCTTTAAAGGAAACAGAAAATTATACTTTAATCTTGTCAGCAAATACAATATATCATTGAATGAAATGCTGACTGACGTTTTTCATACCAATTGTTAGTCTATTATTTATAAAATGAATGGACGACGGATTTTTCCTTCATTTCCTGATCATGGAAGGAGCACACGGCGAATGTGATCGATAGACAGGGGATGCTTAATCCTTCATGCCACCTGATCCCACCTCTCACCGATGTTTTGGAGGTCCATGTTTGCTCTGCTCCTATTTTGTAGTGTTTTTGGACTTTTGATCTTGAACACTGTTCGTTATGTTTTTATGTTTCATATGGTATATTTATCCAGCATTTTAGACTAATGCATCATAAATAAACTCTTTTTCTTAAGACACTATATAAAAAAAATATGAATGAAATATTACAAATTCAATACCTTATTTAACTGTATTCACCTTTTCTTGGCATATTTATTTTTGGCTATAAGAAACTATTATCATATAAATATATCTCATGCAATTTTATGAATTAATCATATTGTACTTAAAAGTTATGATTATGAATCTTTGCAATACATAACAAACAAATCTACACCTTATTTCTCTCGAAAGTTTTCTTCTAAAAATAAATTGTGCAATTATCGTTGCCTTTGTTTTTTCAATCACAAATAATTTTATCTGTTAAAAGGAGAGCAGTTAAGCTATAACAATGACCAAACATTCAAGACCCCGGATCACTCTCCCCCAATACGATGTTTCCGTTCCTATACAGACGGTGGATGGTGGTTCGATGACTGTCATTGGGCCTATTTAAATGGAGTTTATGGGTCTGGAAAATGGGTCAATCCTTGGGACGGAACAATTAAATCTGGAACAAGCTTTGGCTCTTCACAAATGATGACTAGAAGACAAAGATAGTTATCAAAAAATAATTAAATGACAAGAAATAGTGTCATTTTTACATGTGTATATCATGTATTACTTTTTTGAAAATTTACGCCCTCTACAAACGAATAAGATAACAAAAATATTGTTTATTAATAATTATATTATATAATGATTTGTCAATGTACAGTTTCATAAAAGAAGAAAATGCATATACAATAACATTTTGTATGTCATCGACTCTTTTGATAGGAACGGAAGGAGATTTACTGTTACAAATTGCATTTAAGGGGAGAGTTGGTTCAGCCAGGATTTATAACTATAGTCAGAAAATTGGAGTTTTATGAAGAAACTTACTTTTACAATGAACGACTGACTTCTGCAATTTAAGAGGAAATATCCCTCTGCTTCACATTTCATTAATTTATTTTATTCCAAACATTTATTTTCATCAACATCAATAAGATTAAATTCAAATGGGAAATAGTTTGCAGAATGAATCATTGCTTACCTTTTTAGAAATGAATATTAAGTCTAAATATGATGAGAAGAAAATTTGATATGGTCAATATTATATAATTTTTATCTCACATTAAAATTATAAATATGAGGTATATATCAAAACAATATTTATCATTAAACCAATCTAATTTTCACTAGAAAACATAATTTAATGAAGCATTGCTTTTAGAATCAGAATTTCAATTTATTTTCTGTGGTTGTCAAATAAAATGCATCCATCAGCAAGAGTTCTCTTTTCATTATCGTCCTTTAATATATTTATAGTGAAACAAAATATTAAATGTTTATAAACAATAATTATTTTGCATCTGAAATTTCTGTAACAATTAAAAGACTGATATGTTAAGAGATAGAAATATCTCAATTTACATAGTTTAAAGGAACTAAATATAAATATTTAGGTAAACTATTAAAAATAATCAATGAAAATACTGGCAATAGAAACTAGAAATTGACAACTGCACTATAGAAGAAAATCGATTAAGTTGACTACATAATGGTCTTCTTTGATGACTTCTGTACAATCTGACAACATGATTCATGGAATCTCAATGTAAATAGTCTTCAGAAAGTTATATCTTTTATCAGACGGATAAAACACCTTACACAAAGACCAACTGTAAAAGTCAGCTGTCGAAAGTAAAAATGTCTCTCCTTAAAACTCCTCTTGCAATTAAAGTAATATCTTTTTATTTAAAATAAAAAAAAAAATATTTAATACAGTTTTTGATGATCATTTCAACTTGTGTATGACAGAGAATTGAATTTGTATATGTTTCATATTAGACAGCTGTCAGCTGCTCAGTCTCTACCCTTACCTTATTTTTCTTGTAGACTTTTAATAAAATCCTGATCGTAAACTCTGAAATCTATTCTGAAATTGTTTTCCAGTATATTTTACTCACAATAAAGAAGAAGGTATGGTTTCCATACAAATTTTGCCCTGTGATTGTCTAAAAATGAAACTGGTGTAAAAGTTGAAAACTCATGCTTTTTAAATAATTGAAATTCAGTGCAGAAAAATTATACAAGTCATTTTTCTCACATGTGTTTTTAAATGCTAATTATGACGTCATAAACATGTGCCTTTTCCCGTATTTTCTTAAAAAGTTGCAGAAGACACCAATTTTCAATGGAATTTTCTTTCAGATAACATTGTCCACAGGCATCGCCCACAAAGATCTTGAGATATGTGATTTGTTATTGAATTTTGCACAAAATATAAAAAAATTAACGTGGGCGACGGCTGTGGACACTGTTTCCTAAAGGAAAATCACCCTTGAAATGTGCCATTTTGAGGCTTTTTCTGTTGAAAATAGAGAAATGCTTCACATTAATGACGTCATATTTGCAGAATGGTAAACCTTCATGCCATATTCTTTACTGATTTATCAGAGTCATTTATTTAACTAATATTTAAGTCAGTTTCAAAACTTTTTGATGTCATTACATTTTTTGGGCGCAATAAAGCTAAAGCCATACCTTCTTCTTTGTTAATCATTTGCAAAATATTGATTTAATGTATCGCGCCACAAACAGCTGATAAACACTTTTAAAGGTAACAAATACCAAAAATTCCCTACATCAACCTTATAACTATTACTGATCACAAAAACCCTTTCACAACATGTTCCCTTAACACAATGAATTCGATTTTACACCTTGCGAACATATTAACTTCATGTTGTTTCCTATCTTGCTAAGGAACAACAATTTAAAGTGGTTTTTTTCACCGAATCATACATTGTACATAAAATAGGAAAAGTTGATGATTTCATTTTGAAAAGTGAAATTATAAGTGCTGATCATGATATGTACTCAGCTACAGAAAAAAAAATCAAAAGGAATCAGCGACTGGTATGTGCAATATTTATATTCATATATATTCACTTACCCGTCTCAAATATAAGTAATAAACTAAAGGTATTGTGAGCAATGAGTTCAATAAATGATACCCCTGGATCCCATATGAATATAATGGCAGTGTCCATGTTTTGCCCTAGGAAGCCCAAAATAAAGGTCGAATCAAAAAGTAAAGTAGAAGGTGAACGATGACATTATGAAATAAAGATTCTCTGAAAGTTTCATTAAGTTTTATTCAGTGGTATAAGCGGAGTTGCGGATAAGAGAAGCGCACCCCAAAACGTAACATACGGATGAACGGACAGACGTACAGACGGACGGACGGACATTTCGATTACTGTATATCCTCCCGCTTTTCAAGCGGGAGGGGGGGTATAGAAACAGGTTTAAAAACGACTCAATAATTGAAGTGGGTCGGTGCGTGATCGTACTTTCGGCATTAAGAGTATTTGATCACATGAGCGACATGCTAAAATTCAAATTCAAGTTTTTAAGCTTTCTATTTATGTCTTAAATAAAGTCACACCACACATCCCACTTTTGACTTCATACTTAACACCTTCACTGCTTGAAAAAACACCTTTACAAAACTTTACTTGCAAAGTAAATTTCATTAAAGGTGCTCCAAAAAGCAAGGTCATCTTTGTATTAACTTTACAAAAAGTAAAGGTGAAAAGGTAACCTTTACTTACAGGAAAAGATAATTAAATATAACCTTTCACCTTTAATGCCATATTAAAGTTCATTAAATATACATATTTTATAAAAGTCTTATTTAAATGCTGACTATTGTTTAATACACTTATCCTTGGATTTTCACAGTTAGTTAAGAATCTAATCTAGTGAGGACCCAGAATTTTAAGACAAATGTCAAAGATATTTTTTTATTATCTTGTATCCATTTCCAGTTGAAATTAGTATTAGAAATGGTCATCTACAGAATCAAACACTCGACTCATCATTATTTGACAGACTACACCTCAAATAATACAACAACTATGCTGTAAGCCAGGTTAGCTTAATTGGAGCAGCTGGCGTTTATTTTGATACAAATCTAACATACATTACATTGAATGTGAAACAATAAAGCACTGGAATGCATTTGTAAAATATTTTACCTGTAATAAATTATACCCCTATCACAGACATTAAAAACCGCCCAGGCAAAAACCATAGATGGTTAACTATGGAAAACCTGTGTCCGTCGCTATGTAAATAATGTCTCAAGAGAGAATGCCGGACGTGCATTCAGTGCAATAGTTAAAAATGCACGAACACCCTATAATATTTGCATGTATGTAAAAATCCAAATTAAAATTAAAGGTATATTATTACAGTTTTGTTATTTCCATTACCAGTATATTCATACAAATATGATATATATTATATATAAAGCAAAAAATGTGTGTGTATTGAAGAGCACTGGCTTAGAATGATTTGAACACCTTACTGAATACTCATTTCTCATTGGCCTTCCTTTGGCAACACCCACATATACATCAAAACCCATTAATATACGTTCCTCTAATACAATGTGTTCCCGCTCTACTACGAAACACGGGAAAAAAATATTATCTGCACCAGGATTGCCTACAACTCACTGAATTGGATGGCGTAGATTTTTCATATGTACATTGATATTAATGATATATTAATTAATAATATAACAATGGGAAAAATTGGCATATTGATAATTTTCATTTTCCAAGCAAAAATGATCTAAAATATTCTGTATTTTGGCTTCTCATCATATGATGAGTCAGATTACAGCACAAACAATATCCAGTTATAACCTTGAATATAAACATTATATTGAGCTATCTTTGACTTTTGTTTTCCTTTACACATTCAGATACATGTGAGACAAAATAAAAAAAAAATACAGATGATAAGTATAAATTTCACATTTCTGCTTATGAAATGGAGGTCCCATTTCACTTTAAAATATAATACCGGTACAATATTATTTATTCTTTATGGTGCATGTACATATATGAAATAAACTTTGCAGTTTAAATTGAATTTAAAATGTGAAAAAATTACATAAAAGGCTATTTAATTTGCGCTTACATACAGGCTAATAACATCTTCAACTTGTAATGCAAAATGACGCATTTTACATATTCACAAACACAAAAAATGGTGAAAAATCTATTAGAATATATGTGAGGATGCAGTTTGCAAAATGCATGAGATCATGTATGAATCCAGCTTCACCCAGTGAGCCTGTCTGTGCTTGACTTAGTTTAGATTATGTTTTTATGTCTGTGGTATGTATATGTTAGTGTGTTTGCATATGTGTCCAGCTTCACACATTTTCATGTATGTGCTCGACTTCACACGCCTTGGAAAATATGTAATAGGGTTGTGGCAGATGCATGTGTATTTGTGTATGTGTCCAGCTTCACACACTTTCATGTATGTGCTCGACTTCACACACCTTGGAAAATATTTAATAGGTTATGGTAGATGCATGTTTGCATGTATCCAGATATACGCATTTTCATGTGTGTGCTCGATTTACATGTCATCAAAGTAAAATATGTAAACATGGTGGTGTAAAACATTTACAAGTGTATGATGCACACAGAGAAAAAAAAAGTTCTGTGTGTTTTGTTCTGCAAGACTGATCGTATAAATAAACTACAATTATGTTCTGTTGAGAAATTGACAATCATAATAAGTAACATATTCATTTTATATAACTGTACTGAAAATTACACATCCAGTTTAAATTACTGTACTGAAAATTAAATTTGTGCAAAAAACTCTCTGGCTGAATAACATTCAAAATCATGAATGCTTGCATGTTCATCTATAAATCTCCAAGATATTTCCTAGTTAGTTTGTAGCGCCGCACCGAGCTGTCTTACAACACATTTCATAATGTCAGTTTGCATGAATAAATTAATTTATCCTTGTTCCTCATATCTTGAAAATAGATGCCGAAATTCTAGTCTACAGTTTACTTACACAGCACATCATAAATAGAAACATTCAGGAAAAATAATTCACAAAAAATAAATTCAAGTAAAACAATCACATGTACATATAAATCCAAGAAATATTATGTAATAGTCCAAGTAAGTGAGTAACTTTATCTATCTCTAACTAGAGTTCTATCTACTAAGTCTTCTATATTTCCATCTTCCTATCTTATTCTAAAATTCTGTTGCACTATATATATACTCAAGATCCATTCCTGACAATCAGGAGCACATTACAAGATCTTTAAAATCAGGAGTCAATACACAGGTCATTACGATCAGACAGCAGGGGAGTTAGATAAGAGGGGGTGATTAATATACAGATAAGATTTATAGCATAAGTGTAGATGATAATGTGTGAACAATTAAATAATGAAGAGTGATTTACAGATAAGATATTTTAAATCGTTACAAGTTTACATATTCTTGATCATATCATTGTTAAGAGTATATATTCTTGATCATGGCATCTGTATTGGATTCCCCTCTCTGACATCTTTTCTTCACCAATTAGTTCAACAGTCATCTAGGTACTCAGGTGTTGTACAAGTCCTAATAATAATCATTATAAAAATTATAAAAAAAAACAATACAATTTTTAAAGAGGTTTTCATTACTTCTATTGAAATAAAAGCACAAGCTTTTGAAGACATACTTAAGTAACTTAAACATGTATAACTAAACATAATGGAAATTTAGACATTGCGACTCAATGTCAAACATATGATAGTGATACATCTGTAATATCCATGAAACTCACTGAGATACTTAAAATGTTTGTGGCGTGCTTTTACTAAGCTATGCAATAAATAAACATTTCTTGATTACATGTTGAAGTCCAAGGCTTAAAAAAAATAAGTTTGTTTCCTGTAACATTCCCAAAATATCAACATGATCAAGGGTCAGTAGGTCGGATTTTTTTTTTTTTTTTTTTTTTTTTTTTTTGCTTATGGATGGTGAAACATCCCCAGACTGAAAATACCAGGTGTTATATTTACAGTGGACACCCAACAGGGCATCCAAAATGGCTGCCTAGCAGCAGAAAACAAACTTCAGAAAGTTGTAGGGGGAAACTGTTGTTACAATAATGATTACTCTTTATATTTAAGGTAAATGTAAACTAGGTTGACATATTTTATGTCTCAAATTAAACTACAAGCTATTGTTTTAATTTAATAAATGGAATCAGCTGATTGATCAAACAAAGTTTTGCCATTTGTCAGGGAAAAAAAATCCACCCAGGGATAATTTGAATGGGTCGGTCGGGTTACAGGAAACAAACATAATTTTTTTTAGGCCCAATCCTCACCTAACTTGCACATTCATATGGATTGGTTCTACGCTGATAATCCCTTTCAACAATCTTCATCACAACATCTGAAAGTCACCCATCTTCAAAATTAAATCTGCCGCTCACCTCATATGTATATAGACTCCCTGTACAAATGCATGGAAAATAAAATTTTGAATAAAAAATGAATTATCTCTTTACCATACCCAGCCTCTTTAAAAAATGTGAGAAAATAATTTAAATACTTTTCTTTAGATAAAATCATGTAGTGAGTATCCAGCAATGTGAAAAAAAGTTATCTCTAGAATTTTACATTTATATTGAATGAAAAATGCATTGTTCCCTCTACTTAAAAAAACTCAAAAGACATTACCTAAAATGGAAATAAGGTACACCTGTGACTGGTGTCTCAGGCACAACCAATAAACACAAGACCTTGCCATCCTTAGCAGCATGCATTAGCTCCATATTCCTTTTTTCTACAAAAAATATACAATGAAAATTAAAAAAAAAAAAGTGAAGAGTGTTACATGTACTTGGGGGAGCAAAGGAAGGAATTTTGAAGTCAGATTAATTATAGCTTGCGCAGCGAGCATCGTGAAGTGACGCTCGTAACTGTGAGCTCTAACGACAACGCCTGGGCGAAGAGAAAATTCGTACTACTGCACATTCATTCTTTAGAATTTTTTGCTGCAGTAATTTTGACCCACAATGCATCACTTAGCAAAGTTGCGTTCTCGCGAGATTGACGGCAAATGTTCAACAAAAAGTTTACTCGCCTTGATTAAATGGATACATATTGAAGATAAATTGTAAACGTAACTTTTTTCATTAACTTTCAGCACTGTTCAGTTTCTCTTGGTATTTGTAACTTAAATACGACATCATCTGACGTCAGAGTTCTAGACACACCAAATGTCACGCGCGGTTTGACGAGCCCGATCTAAATTAAAACAATAGAAGAGTTTGCGCTCGCTCTAACGGTCGCACCGTCAACATATTATTTCTGCCAGTGTTGGGACGGATAAATTTCCATAATAAAATGAAACGAATTATTCGCAACAAATAAGACACATGTATTACCTTGCAGTCAACATTGCACATAATCATTATGTATAAACATTTCTTGATTACACGTTGAAGTCCAATCCTCACCTGACTTGCACATTCATATGGATTGGTTCTACGTTGATAATCCCTTTCAACAATCTTCATCACAACATCTGAAAGTCACCCATCTTCAAAATTAAATCTGCCGCTCACCTCATATGTATATAGACTCCCTGTACAAATGCATGAAAAATAAAATTTTGAATAAAAAATGAATTATCTCTATACCATACCCGGCCTCTTTAAAAAATGTGAGAAAATAATTTAAATACTTTTCTTTAGATAAAATCATGTAGTGAGTATCCAGCAATATTGAAAAAAAATTATCTCTAGAATTTTACATTTATATTGAATGAAAAATGCATTGTTCCCTCTACTTAAAAAAACTCAAAAGACATTACCTAAAATGGAAATAAGGTACACCTGTGACTGGTGTCTCAGGCACAACCAATAACACAAGACCTTTCCATCCTTAGCAGCATGCATTAGCTCCACATTCCTTTTTTCTACAAAAAATATACAATGAAAATTAAAAAAAAAAAAAATGAGAGCGAAGAGTGTTACATGTACTTGGGGAACAGAGGAAGGAATTTTGAAGTCAGATTAATTATATTTCTGCCAGTGTTGGGACGGATAAATTTCCATAATAAAATGAAACGAATTATTCGCGACAAATAAGACACATGTATTACCTTGCAGTCACCGTCGCACATAATGTATACATACAACTGACAACATCCCAAATCCCTTTCTTTGTTGTTTATTTGGCGGAATTTTCTTTGCCTTCTAGACTGGTTCCCTGTTCTGGTTCCTATACGTTGCCGTGAATAAGTCCTACGTTTATTGGTTTTGTTTACAAGCTTCAATATCTATAAAATCTCCCTCACATTTACAGTCTGTATTGTAAACTACTAAAACATACTTTACACACAATTTTCAGCTCAGTATTATGTTATCCTCTTCATTCAAATAATATGTAAACTCTTCTCGAATGTAAAACGAACGATCTACTCTGATAAGTAACCCAAATATGGCACTGTGTATTCGGCTGAATAGCCAATCATTTCAAATCAAGTGGAGCGGGTCTGCATCGCTATTTTGACGAAGTTTGCAACCTGTGGTAATTTTTTGAAACCTCATCTAGATTTAAGGAGATTCTTTTCTTGACAACTGCTCGAACTCCCGGATTGGCATGCACTGCAGGTTTGTTTACGATTTCCAACCGTTTTCACTTTCAGCATAGATCAGTAGGCTACATTGTGCATAAATGTAGTGAAACAAAACTTCGCTGCCAGAATGTTAGATTAGTATTTTGATAATTTGGGGATTAAATGTTTATGGGTTTCAGTTTATTCTGTAAAGGTGTATGTCTCTGGAATACTAAACAAGACAAAGAAAAACAATTCTGGAGTGGGACTAAAATGAGTAGTTAAAACCCAGCCGGGCCGGGAATTTGAAACTGAAACCGGGTTTTTGCTAATTACTGAGAATGTACACAATCAGTTGTCATAAAACTTAGTTACAGATGTATTTATGCCTTGGTTGAGAGTTTCAACTCCGAAATTGACAAATTAGTTTATTTTATTTATAACATTTTGTATTTTAATTGTGTCCATTTTGTTAAAATACAGTTTGAGTGAAATCAGTATGCAGATTGTTGAAGGGAAAACATTGAGACGGGGCGAGGAAGATGACAAAACATGATTGAGGATCCCAAAGTTCTTTGGTACAAGCACGTTTTTAAAAAATCAAATAACAAGTATCGTGAAATGTTACTTGAACAAACATTTACATTATTTAGTGCTTGACTTGCTCGGGAGTCATTATTGTCAAATGTATTCGTATAAAATGTTCAATTTCTTTTGTATAGGCTCAAGCTACTCAGCCTACCATGAGAAAATTAAAAGATCTGCCATGAAGAAGAGGAGCGTTCTCAAGTTTCATATTATAGATGGCAAGTATTGTTTAGATTTAATTTTAAAGTATTCTTGATAAAGAAAGGGTGTTTGGCAGTTCATAGCTATTAACTGTGATTGCATTGTGTATGAATTTTCAAAATCAATTCATTCTTTGGTGACCGTGTGCTTCAAACTCATAATTTTTAATAAAAATATTTACTATATATTTGTCCAGGTGTATAAAATGTTAATCACTGTATGAATTCTATTTCAGCATGATTGTCATCTTCAATTTGAGGGACTCTCACCCAAAGTCCTTTTACTGTTCCATATCAGGAAAAAGTTCATGAGCAGAATAACGCTATTTGGGAAAAAGGTACATATATCCTAAACCGTAACTTGAGTATGATTCTGTACACATGTACAGCTAAGCTAAATATGTAGCACTATTTTGTTCTTTTTGTAAACTGACTACTGAGTAGTCAGGAAAACCTATCATTTCTTTATGTATCAGGGATTTATTGATTGTGATAAGCACCCTTAAAAAGTACATAATTCTCTAATTGTAATTTTAGGGATTAGGCTTTTTGTGATAAGGGATACATGACTAACCCATTGATTCTTCATATAATATGTCAATAATAAGAGGTCCACTCATCTTATTAAATTAATACAATTTTTAGCTCACCTGTCAAGTGAGCTTTTCTGATCACATTTTGTCCGTCGTCCGTCCGTCTGTAAACTTTTCACATTTTCGACTTCTTCTCAAGAACCAATGGGCCAATTTTAACCAAACTTGGTACAAAGCATCCTTGGGTGAGGGGGAGTTTAAATTGTAAAAATGAAGGGCCAAGTCCCCTTACAAGGGGAGATAATCAAGAAAAGACAAAAATAGGGTGGGGTCATTTAAAAATCTTCTTCCCAAGAACCACTGGGCCAGAAAAGCTGAAACTTATGTGGAAGCATCCTGGGGTAGTGTAAATATTAAATTGTTAAAAAGATGACCCCGGGGGGTAGGGCGGGGCCACAATAGGGTATCCAAATTTTACATAGAAATATATAGAACAAATATTTAAAAATCTTCTTCTCAAGAACCACTGGGCTAGGAAAGCTGAAACTTATGTGGAAGCATCCTTGGGTAGTGTAGATATTAAATTTTTAAAATCATGACCCCCGGGGGTAGGGCGAGCCACAATAGGGAATCCAAGTTTTACATAGAAATATATAAAACAAATATTTAAATATCTTCTTCTCAAGAACCACTGGGCCAGGAAAGCTGAAACTTACGTGGAAGCATCCTTGGGTAGTGTAGATATTAAATTGATAAAATCTTGACACCCGGGGGTAGGGCGGGGCCACAATAGGGAATCCAAGTTTTACATAGAAATATATAGAACAAATCTTTTTAGAATCTTCTTCTCAAGAACCATTGGGCTAGGAAAGCTGAAACTTATGTGGAAGCATCCTTGGGTAGTGTAGATATTAAATTCTTAAAATCTTGACCCCTGGGGGTAGGGCGGGGCCACAATAGGGAATCAAAGTTTTACATAGAAATATATAGAACAAATCTTTTTAGAATCTTCTTCTCGAGAACAACTGGGCCAGAAAAGCTGAAACTTGTGTTGAAGCATCTTCGGGTAGTTTAGATTCTAAAGTATTAAAATCATAAAAAGGAAGAGGGTAGTGGGGTACGATAGGTATAGTAAGAGGGGAAATCTGGTAAAGAACTGCATCACCCAAGTTACTCAGGTGAGCGATGTGGCCTATGGGCCTCTTGTTATTTTTAAGGTTAAAGGTCATGTATGAACTTTTTATTTATTAATTAGGTTGTGCATTGTTTTTAGTTTTATTAATCATGGTATTGTGAATTCTGATAACAGATGCCTTTGAAAATATTCATACTTATGCATAGCACTGAAAATATACTTATAGATTTTTTTTTCTTTTAGGAAAAGCATTAGAAGAATTCCTGCATGGGAAGAAAAGTTTTGGACTCTGAAAAGGGAAATGTGACAAATACATTTTGAAAGTTATTGATTTCCACTGAAACCAATATCCACAAGAAAGAGGAACATAGTAGTTTTATGTTGATTCACAACTTTAAATTCAAGAATGTACAGTTGGTTTTATTATAAAACATGTCACGTACGAAAAACATTTTCGTGAAATGTACTTTGTCTTCGATACTTATTTATGTGTATGTGATTTGCAGGATAGGATGTGGGCAACATATACTGTCAAGAATCTTGATGTTTTTGATCTTATGTTTGTAAAAAAAAATAGTAATAAACAAAGTTAAAGTCAACTTTTTGTTACTTTGTATATATTAATTATGATGTCCAGACTTCCGCAGTATCGACTTGGAAGAAAAATCTTATTTATAAATTGCATAAGGCTTTATTCACTAGAATGGAAAACAGAAATTATTAACTTTTGTGGTATTTAAAGATGGTATTTAATTAAATTTAAGATCTGTAATTATCAGATTTAATATATCCTAAATATGGTGTTTAATGGTTGTAAATATTAACTTTACTTTTTTGTAAAGTCAAGACAATGTGGGACATTACATCATATTTAAGTGCATGTAAAGTTAATGTAAAGGTTACCTTTTCCAACTTTGACTTTTTTCAGAAAAGCCAATTAAAGGCATTGTAAATAATAAATTTACATTATCTTTACTTGTTTTGTAAAGCCGAATTTTCATGCAGTGCTTATTTTTAGGACATCCATAATACTATATAAAAACATTTCATAGATTTTTCAGAATGAGTCAAAATTGCAACGTATACATGTACGAAACAATTGTTTCTTAGTGAGTTATTAATGGTTTTTTTCTTATGACAAATGCTCATATCAAAATATTTTTTTCACAGTTACACTGAGGTATATAATACTGAAGACGTATAAAATTTGGCTGTGTATTCTTTTTAACGGCTTTGGCAGACCGCAACAACTGCTTAAAAAAGTCAGTCAGCATTTGCCTCCCCTTACCAAAAATATTGCCTTTCTGCAAATATTTGCTGCAAGTCTGCAGCAAACATTGTCCCAAACTTGCATCAGACATTGCTGCAAGCTTGCGGCAATGTAGCTAAAGAAAGCATGATAGCTAATTAAGTTTGTAAGTCTGTTAGTTTGCGGCAAATATAGAGGAAGCTTGCAGTAAACATTTTACCACGCAAAATGAGGTTTGCTGCAAGTCTGCAAATTTAGAAACCTTGCTGCACGCTTTCGGCAAATATTGCTGCAAACATTGTTGTAAGCTTTCAGCAAACAATTTCCTTTTTTTCCTGGTTTTTGGCCGATCCTGTTCAAATTCACAGAAAGCTTGTGTGCTAACCTTAATATGTTTTTTATAAAGAAAATCCACCACATATATCTGAAATAATGAAAGTTTCTGAAGTGTTGACGAATCTCTTTATGTTCCTAGACAATGTTTCCATACTCTTCTTAATCAAAGTACATTATAACTTTTTTTCTTTATAAATTATATGTACAGAAAACTAATAACTTTACACATAATTTCATAATTAATTACATGTATTACAGCTGCTTATTTATTTGAAAAATATACTAAAAGCATAACTATAAAAATTGATTTGGGACCTTTAATACATTAAAGAAGCATACACATGTGATATTAAGGTGGCTCATTACATCCACAGTTTATTCTAGATTTCAATACAGCACCACTTATAATGTAGATGTCAAATATCCAGATGGGGTATTGATATCATAAATATTTTTTACAGAATTTTTTAGTTTTTGTCTAATCTTAGTGAAATGATTTATTTCAAGTTTATTATTAATCGAATTTAAGAACTTTCAGTCTCAAATGATGGGCATTTTCTTAAGACAAGTACACACAGTGAAAATACCTCATAATACCTAATAATTTATTAGAAAAAAAAATTTTCTCCTAAAAAACAATTAATGTCATCATCTTTTTAATCCATGCATAAAACATTAAGAAATGAGTTCTGAAGAGACAAGGAATGTATTTCAGTGGATTACATGTGTCAAATTAAATGAAGAATGTTTAAACGAAATGAAAATTCGAATTCAAAAAATATTTGGTATAAAAAGTCCACTTTCAAGAGTTATCTTTCCTAATTACCCAAGACTCAAAGCACTAAGGAACATTTGAACATTACATCTAAAATTCAGAACAAAGCTTTTAATTGCCTGAGAATATATTAAAATCGATAAAGCAAATATATAAATTAACACCAACACAGTAAATAGTGCAAGTAAATAACTTTTTTAATTTCAACAAGGTTGTAGATTTTAACTCCAAATACCTCCATAAAAACATGTTATAGATTGATAGAGCTTACTGCATGCATCGCTATGAAATTGACATTACTTGTTTGGCGAAGATTTGTCTTTTGTTTTCTTTTGGTTCTGCTTAAAAACAATTCTTCTTGGTTTATCCATAACGAATCCGTTACTTCGTTTTCACTTTTGATAACACCGTATGTTTCATCTCTTTTTAAAGCGCTTTAAAGGTTAGGGTCCTATTGTAGAGGTACCTGTACAATTCGTCCCAAGAGGAAACCGGTCGACACAATGGAGGTTTATTTTTTTGTGTAGTACGTCATCAGAAAGTGGTGTAATGAGCCTCCTTAAGATAAGGACTAGATAAATAGATTTAGATTTGACCAAGCAGTCACACCAGTTACTCAAATATGCTTTTCAGAAATATTTTTGTTCATATAAAATTAAAACAAAATCAAAACTTTCCACTGAGATATTATGGATGCCAATGTACACCTACATTCAGAGTTTCGTGTTTTCCTTCAAAACATTATATATTCCAAATATTTACATTTGCAAATATCTTTCCTAGAGAACTTATTGAAGAGTAAATATGTTCAATTCTGTGTGAATTTTATTTGAGGGTCAGAGGTCATAAGCGGCCAAATCGCTCGGCGAGGTAATATCTTGTCTACATATATTTCTGTCTGTTCTCGGAACTACCCAAGTAAAAGCGATGAAAAAGGTAAATTAACTGACACATATAGATATATTCATTCAACAGATGTTCCATAGATCTTCCTTTGGAAAGATTTATTGATTTTATATTGTTTAACGCCCCTCTCGAGAATTTTTTACTCATATGGAGACACCACCACTTGCCGTTGGAGAGCTACAAATTTTGTCCAATACTCGCACTCAGGGCCATTGAGCAGTGAGGGATATTTTCCGTGTCAGCACCTGCTTCGACACTGGACCTCGGTTTAAACGGTCTTATCCGAAGGACCGGACTCCACGTCCCACAGTGGGATTCGAACCCGCGACGTCAGGATTAACTCTTTACTTCGCGACTCTAGACCAGACGCTCTAACCACTGTGCAAAGAGGGCGATCATTTGGTATGAAGAATGTTTTAAATACTATAATCACAGCCTAAAACGGACGTACCTTTATAACCCGAAATTCATATCAAGGTATCTTAACTAAAACAGGGATATCACCTCTTTTTTTCTTTATATATATTAAAAACCTATTAAAAAGTAAGATTTTCAGTAAGGATCATTGTTTTTTCATTGTAAACACAGAATTTGTGAACTGGACTTCTGAACATCATTGTAAATATTAAAACGTTGGAGCGACACGAACTTTCAAACCAATCAACTTCTTGACACCCTAGGTCATTGCGCGTAACAACATTGCAATACGTCGGCCCGTTAATGTAATAAATGCAATTTTACCCGGAATTTATAAGTATTCGTCTCAGATGTTAATATAAGTAAAAACAACGATGTTGAAAGTTCACTGGGTAATGAACTTTTAGTTGGTACTTGATCAAGTCTACTGAGAAACCATTTGGGCTTCACAGGATTTGATCACGTTACCAACTAAAAGATCATTTCAGAGAGAACTTTTTAACATTGTTGTTTATTTCTGAAACAAAATACTGAAACATGTACAATCTCAATTGAAACATATTAAAATTGTGAATTCTGTGTTGGCCCCATAATAATGCATTTCAGCGGAGCCAGGTGACTTGTTTACTGTTCTTGCGAATTTCCTGCGAACATTCAAATTATTAAATGTTCCCTGGACCTTGCTGCAAACGTTAGATTGGCGTGTGTGTTTCTTGCAATGTTCATGGAAACATGTTTGGTTCCTGCGAGTTTGCTGCAAGCTTGCCAATTGCTGCAATGTTTGCCGCAAGATCGCAGCTAGCGGCAATCAACTGCGAATAAGAACTTTTCTTTCCAGCGAAAAATTTTCTTTGCTGCAAGCTTGCAGCAGACTTCCTGCAGGCCTGCAGCAAGCATATCAGTTTGGAAAGGGTCAATGATAAATTGTATTTGTTGACAAGGTCATTGTATCTACCACAGAACTTACGAAATGATGACTTTAATAGAGACTACTGATATTTTAGCTTCATAAACTTGTTTGTCAATTAGGCCCCTATTTCCCTCGTTTAAGAAATTGTACATAAATGAAACAACAATTCATTACATTATCTAGACATCTTTTATGTTTAAGAATGAAAATTCTGATTCAATACGTAGAGGTGCCCAAGATGTTTTTATAAACACAATATGCACTAAACTTTAACAGTTTTCTTCCAAATACTATATACAGGGAAATTCCCCCCTTTTATTTTCGCCCCATTCGCCCTTATTACATGTTGGCGAATTTTAAACGGGGCGATCTCAATTTACACCGTACAATTTCGTTAACAAAATTGTTAATGAGCGAATTCAAAATGGGGCAATTTTGTTTGCAAGTGCAAAAAGGCGAAAATAAACCTGTATACAGTATGCCTCAATATCCCCTTCTCATTCTCTTTCGAGGTTTTAGAATTGCTTCTCTCGACCTAGTGTGATGATACATGTATGTGTTACACATATGATAAGAAACGTGTGATAAAGATTAACGGCCTGCTGATTGTAGCGGAATAAACATATGCTGATTTACTAAAATTCCCTTTCATTTCTTGGGATTATGAAGGCTTTAGACCGGTTCTTTAAAGGTATTTGCTTTTTATTACAATGTGTGTTAACAATCAGTGATAACGAGGAATTCATTAATGGACTTTGTTTATCAAAGCAACTGAGTCCTTTTTTATTTAATTTTCAGTTTTCCTTATTAAAATTTGCCTTCAGTGGCAAACTGCGATTTAAGATTTAATTTAAAAAAAACATTTGGTGAAAATTTCAGCTTAATGTGCACATTTTTTGAGAAAAACTCTTTGTCCACGATTTTACCGGACAACCCCCGTTTTTATATATGTAAGTTATAATATATATAAGTTACTCCGCCTATATTTTACTCTCGTATAGCACATTAAAATTGAAGTATTTGAAAAAGGAACACTGATCGACCGTAGTAAACAAGGGCAAAAAGCATTGACCCTGTGAACACTACATGTGGGATCAGGTACCTAGGAGGAGAAAGCATCCCTTTAACTATCCTCTCTGCCATCACTGGGAAATACAGGTGGCGTCCTATATAAACATGGTCTTGTTTGATTATTGCGTTTGAATAGTTATTTAAAAAATATGCTCATATAAAAATACAGTAGGTTGTACTTTAGGGCCAGTGAGAAGAAAATGTCAAAACAGAAGAAAGGAGCTTTTCCAACGATTTTAAAATATTCACGCTCATTAACTTTTCTTTGCGCTTGAGTGGCTGTATATTATTTCAAAATTATTTCATGTTGTAGAATCCTTACACTGTTTGTCCTGTACGGATACTGTATCACCTCTCCACTGTCATCTCATCAGAAAATGTCCTACTGGTGACGTAAGCATTTGAGCTTATTTAAAAAAAACACGATGTAATACAAATCGAATTTGAAGGGAAACTAGTAAAAGAAAAATAAATGTCATTTCCTTCTAGCAAAGGTTAACGCCACAATAAAAGAGGGAAAAAATTATACATTAATGTTTAACAAATAATTGAGTTTTATCTTCAAAATAAAAGTCATGTAAAAAAAATTACAGATACATATAGTCTCTTTTAACATAATGGTTTTAGTAATGGCTTAGTATGAAAGTTGTTCATACATTTATGTAGAAACCATATATTTTCTTATAAACAAAATACTAAAGGATGGCACAAGGTCGCAGTATTGTAAAACAAAAATGTACAAAATAATATACATATTGTGAAAAATCATTCTAATTAAACTACTTATATTTCTTCAAAGTCAGGAGTCAATTTCTTCAAATAATCATCCCTTGGATAATGTGGGCAAAAAGTTGTTTGTAGATAATCCAGTGTGTAAATAATGACCTAACAATTAGTATGAAAAACATAGTCAGCATTTAACTTAATGAGGAATTGTATTTTCTAAAAACGCCGTTGTATCAAGCATAAAACTTGCGAAAAGACTTTTACAAAATATCCTTGTTTCATCATCTAGTTTTTCAATAGTTTGCCTCATTTTAGAAATTTTGTCCTTGGAGCATTTTCTTAAGTATCAAATTAACTGAGACATATTATTGTTAGAGAAGGGCAATGATTTTGAGAGAAATAAAGAAAAATCAAACTCCAAATAAGCATTGCCATAATGATATGGGTTAAGAAGTGTAATGTTGAAGTATTTTAGTTGAAATCATGTCCTGGTTAGCAGAGTCATAAGTCACATAGTCAAGCTCTCGTCAGAAAGTATAAGAAAATTGTAATGCCAGATAGTTCGAACAAGCAAAGAAAGAGGTAAAGTTTCTACTATATCTTCTATAAAATTCTTTGTGTGAAATATTTCATTTACCAATTCCGTTGTCACATAATAATTTTTTATTTAGGAATAGGTAGGTAATAAATATAATGTTGTACTTTGTAAAAAATTTTATGCATGCCCTAAAATAGGTATGTTTCGTGGAACAATTTACGACCATTAATGGCGAACAACTCTACAACATGGGATGCTACACAGAAAGGGTAAAAAAAATTTACAATAATGATAATTATAAATAATAATTATTAAGAATTGAGTTTGCGTTTCTAAAGCAGTTATATTTCGCATTTTAAAAATTTTCATATTTAAAAAGAGTCTACTATGTATAGCGTCTTTCTATAACTAGGTTATCTTTCTTGAAAATCGGAACTCTTTTATGCAAGAATTTTTTCTATTTGTACTTCCGGTAGGTAAAAAAAAAAAGAGATCGTCTTTGTAAACAAGTAATAAATTCGGTCATTTGTGATCCTGGTGATGGGGAAATTATACTGCTGTGCCACGAACTGTCACAATTATAGTGGCAAAAATATTAAGGATAGAAAAGTGACATTACATCGATTCCCAGTTAATAAAAAACATAAAATGATATGGAAAAACCGTGTCAGCCGCAAGAATTGGAAGCCAACAAGTTGCTCTAGACTATGTTCCGAGCATTTCATCTCGCTGTCTGGTCCGACGAAGGAGCATCCATTACCATCTATTTTTCATCACAAAACATTTAAGACTACAAACGTATGTATTTTTTTTTATGTATCAGAATTGGGTAAATAAAATCAAGGACGTTTTTACCAGTTTCAAATCAAGGTGTAATGACTCGATTATAGCATGAAAAGCAGCGTACCATGATGTATAGTGATACAATGAGGTTGTATCATGATAAGCCTATGTATTGTGATATTAATTTTATGTTCCCTGTGGTATTTAGTATAAACTGAATTTCTCTGTTTATTATTTATATCAGATTATCATGATTATTATGTGGAAGGGTGGGGATTGTAGATTTTTTTCATAAACTTGATAAAGTTTACAGTATATATTTATGTATCATTGAATTGAATAAGTTCGGAATACAGTAAATAAATATCAGAAGTAAATAAAGATCATCAGTTTTATTAGGTTAAAGTAAAAGAACTTCATTATTTACCTAATGCGTCATTTATCGTGATACACAGGTGTACAATTTTGTACATGTACAATGATACGGTGCAATGTTTCGTGTATCACCACAAACTGGTATATAATTTTATTGTTACACCCGTAGTATAGACATATTTCCTTGAGGCTGAGAAAAAATCATTATAACTAATTAGTTTATTGAATGATGTACACCATATTTGTATGGATACTTATACTACACATATAAGACCTTTATTTTCAGTTTGACCAAACAACGGAGGTTTTAAAAGAAATAAATGACAATCAACAAGAAAATACAGTGAGATCAGATTCAGAGACCTCAGAGTCCGATTCTGCTGAAAACCCTAGTTTTACAGTTGATGCAAACAAATCTGTATTGGACACATCCGTATTAATGCACGATTACTGTGGATTGATAGAAACATCAACCTTATCTCATCAGAAAAATCAACTGACACAAACTGATGTTCAACAGAATGACAGTGTTTGTATTCAGACAATTGAAAGTTACCTTGATACATGTGGGAGTAATATGGTCTCTTCAAAAAAATTATGTGACAAAAGTACTGGTACAACCTTACCGTTTTTAACAGTTGAAGACTTGAAACAGGATATTTCATTTTATACTGGTCTGCCAAACAAGGAGACTTTTTATTTATTATTCCAACATCTGTCAGACTTTCATAAATGTACAGTTCCTGATACTGGAGGAAGACCCAAAAAAATGAGAGATATTGATGAGTTTTTAATGGTATTAATGCGTTTAAGGTTAGGACTCTTAATTCAAGATTAAGCTAAAAGATTTAATATATCTGTGTCAACCTGCAGTAAAATTTTTAATGAATGGTTAGATTTGATGTATGAGCATCTAGACTTTTTAGTAGCTTGGCCAGAACGGAATGTTATCAAAGAAAACATGCCTGACAGTTTTAAACGAAGGTACCCAAATTGTCGTCTTATTATTGACTGCACTGAGATCTATACAGAAACACCTCAGTCACTCTCCAACAAAGGAAGGATGTATTCAGACTACAAGTCACACATGACATGGAAAGTGCTCATTGGAATTAGCCCTAGTGGAGTGATTACACATGTCTCCGATTTATGGACTGGAAGTACATCAGACAAACAAATCACAAAGTTGTCAAAATTAATTGAAAAATGTGAACCTGGGGATGCAATAATGGGTGACAAAGGGTTCCTCATTGCTGACCTATGCACTCCAAATGGAATTCATCTCATTATCCCCCCTTTAAAGAAACATGGTAGGCTAACTAAATCTGAAGTGGAAAAAACCAGAAGGATTGCAAATTTAAGAATCCATGTGGAACGAGCAATGTAGCGAATAAAAAACTTCAAAATTATTCAAGGTGTGGTTCCAATATCACTTCACGACAAAGTGTCCAAAACAGTGTTTGTTGTGTGTGCTCTCTGTAATCTCATGCCCCCACTTATTCAGTCATAGTATAATCTACTATGTAAATCATAAAAATAATGTATCTCTCAGAATAACTATAAGCATTAAGTACTTCATTGTGCAACATACTGCATATGTAGAGGAAAACTTGTTATTAAGTAGTTATACCATTTAATAAATAGCAAAAATCTACTTACGTTTTACATTATTTTTATTAGGTATGTCGATCATGAGCAAGTAAGAAATCAAGTGTTCCAAAGATCATAGCAATGATGAGCCAGAATGACTTCATTCATTTGCACTGCCATTTCTTATGCCAGAAAATCTAAAAATTCTACATTTAAAAAGATTCAGAAATATATCAATTCAGTTGACTGTTATTAAAGTAACTGTATGAATCAAGTTTTTAAAATAAATGCATCATGTACTTGTATCATTGCAATGATCTTTGGTCTTGTGTAAAATTTATTACTATATTATCATGATTATGAGGTACCGTAATGTATGTACCTACATTTAGAAAATTAACATAAAGTACTCTGTTATAAATTTATTGATCAGATACTCACAAGTATTACAAAATATGTTGATTATGATACCAAAGTACATGTACACATACCCTAAATGCACAGTTAAGTTATGTAATACCTGGTCATGCTTATTAAGCCATAATAAATAAATTGCTAGATTCTCATCCGAATTTATTTAAAAATGGAGGCCATAGGCAGCTTTTATTTTAATTTTTTTTTCAGCAGATTTTATATTGACCAGGTCAATCGGTGTAATTTTATCTACAGTACCCGAATAAAAGTCATAGTAAAGGTTCAATTAATATCTCTTACTTCACATCATCACCAATCTTTTTCAACCAATGACCTTTGTTTAAAATATTATATGCATGTACCATATTACAGGAATTACCATCTTTTCAGCTGTCAAAATCATGTAGACTTTTGCAGGATTTAAAACAAAAGTAGAATGGTAGATAAATACTGATCCCTAGAGAATTAAGACAAAGAAAAACAGAAATTAAAAAAATCGAGGCGGAGGTATAAAATCTGGGCGGGCGGGAATGAGAATCTAGGGATATTTTTATTATGGCCTTTGAGACTTTTAGTGACATGTCAGTACTCATCAAAATTTTAATTTAAGACCTCTTTTAACTCTGTCTGAAAAAAGCTCAGGTAATACTGCAGAACAATAAAAAGAATTAAGTTTTGGAAGAATTTCATTTTCCCAAAGTTCCTCATCATATAAAATTTTTTCAAATTCAAGACCTTTATTGGTCCATATAATAAAGTGACACCACTTTCTTTCACTGATGGCCATTACCCCTTGAACCTGATAATAATATGCATGATTTCTCTTCAACTGTAAATTTCCATTTTCATCTAAGATACAAAAAAAATTGTTACTTAAGGCCGCTTCTTTGGGATGCACATCTTTAAAGCTGTACGGACACTTTACTTCAATAACACCATGGTAAGGCTTGCAGTGAGGACAGTACACTAGTCCATCGGGGCTGGCACCTAAATGAGGTAGCGATTCCCTGACAACTAGTCCAGTCTCCTGGAATGTAAGTGGTGGATGTATCTCCCTCACCTTGAGCAGGTAGCAGTCAATGGCAACTTTTTCATGCTCTCTCCCCCATTCCATTGCTTTGTTTGAAAAAGATGGACAGTATCCAAGAATATACTTAAGTAAATTGTCAGGTAAAGTCTCTGGTTTTCTCCGTACAATTTTACCAAAGTCTGAGGCAGTTAGTCTCCCATGCCTAGCTTCTCTCCACGTTGGGTTTATGTGTTGACCTTTGGTCATTTTATTAATAATTTCACACTCTTTTGCTGACACTTGAAGTGAACCAAAATACTGCATAAATTGTTGTTTACATTCATCCGAAAAAAGATCAACATTGTCCATGTAAGAGAAGGTTATATGGTGAAGTTCAGGTATTGATTTTGCAGTGGGGGGTAATGTTTCAATACATGTAGTTGAAAAGTTTTTTAGCCAACCTGCCATTGGATTTATTTTCGTCAGATTTTCTTTAAAAACTTGAACAGATGGTAAGGTTAGGTCTGGATTTTTCTCACTGACACTATATGAACATGATTTGTTTTTCCCCTTCGTCTTTGTTTTGCTGAAATCCATGTCCTGCGCTTTTTTTGGTGAAAGATTTCTGCTACGTGGTTTGATCCACTCGCATGCTTTTGAAGTTGGGGCAATTTTACCAGTGTGTTTTTTTACTGTTATGTCAACAATTCCATACAACAATGCTGCGATATGGTTGCAAGCACCCCCTTCTCTAGAAGTGAAAAAAAAAGAAATTATTATTATTTTTTTTATATTTATAATCATTAAAACAACAAAGTGCTAGTACAGGTAGTATGTTGAATTTTATAACTGATGCAAAATGCAAGGAAAAAGACACCTGGTACCAGTACTTTTTTCAAACAGTTCTCATTTAATGTACAAAAACATTTCATGCACATGTAGGCCTACCTGTACTGAACACATTTTTACCTGTCAGGCATACTTTAATATTATGCATTAGAAAATGTTACAAAGAGCAGTTTAAAAAAAATCAAAGGGCTAGGTTTGGTTTTTCAGTATATCACAGTGGCTCTAGCTTATTACATTAATATCAAGAATTTACATGTAATTTTCATGATTATATTATAAAACTTACTTACCCTGCAACACAGTTACATTCTGCTGTGTGGACTCTACCAGTGACTTTAGACAAGCACACCCAAGACCTGTACGCAGGTTTTTTACTTTTGTCTTTGGTTGGAATTGATGGTAAGCAGTCACATTTTATAATACAATGTGAAGAGTCTTTTGTAACTAGATTAATTTCAATATTCTGTACATGACCTTCATCATAAAATATTTTGGCTTTAAGTTGTCGCCTTGCAGATTGTTGGTTTAAATCAAAGGTACGTTTACTTAATACCAGGTAATTGTAAATTTCGTTTTCCGTAATGTCTGGAAAATACTCGCAGTTAGTCACCCAGCCTTCCGTTAGCTTTGACGGTACTGGTATTCCTTCCCCAAGCGGTGTGATTATTTTGTCCTGTGGCTGTGCATGCTGATCTCCCGAATCGACGTCGTCATGGTCTACATCTAATCCTAAGTCCTTTGCACCTTTAGCTCTCTGTATAAGTTCAGGTTTGTTTCCAAAAGTTGGTTGTTTACACTTTTTAATAAAATCAATTAGTTGTTTCTTTGTCATTTTATCAAAGGCCTCCATTTTTAAACGATTTAGCAACGTCCTTGGCCCCTACATCAGCAACTTTTACCTACCGGAAGTTATAAACCTCCAATACTAGAGAGTGCCTATGGGGAGGTAACTAGGTTATCGAAAGAGGCTATACAGTTTTTTTTATTATCAATAATTTTTTTCTTATATATTATGCAAATTGTATCATATATCAACTTTTAAGAAAATGGCTCAGTGCCCCTGAGTTTAAGCTTTGATATCCAGATTGCCATCAAAGTTTTTGTTCAGCAATCTAAATGTCTACATGTATATTTTGCAATTAAAAAAAACAAAATAATTTAATTCACAATGTGAAGATTTTTATCGATATTGTACTTGTACTGTGATTGTTTGTGTATATGTACAGATTTGTCATGGCCGCCAAGTTGCAGCTAGAAGACGACAATTGTCTAATTTGACCGGAAATGACAATCCACAATGTGTACACTGCTGCAAATCTGATGCTTGTAATTTCCAGGGTTGTGGTTCTACGGGTAAAATTATATCATGTTAAAATATGTTTTGGGGTATATTCCTCTACGCAAGTGAGTTAAGGCTACATATGGAGGTTTCTATGCAAAATATCTAATTAAATTCAATAATTTCTCTACCTTCACCACAGAAAATATTAAGACTTGTTTTATTATACATTCTTGATACCCATGACATGCGACAGCCAGTACACATTATGACGTCATATTATGACGCCATCGACCTCTACTACACAAATTTATAACAAACGTAAACAAAATCGCTTCGGTGCAAGGGCATACCTTACTTTGTTAAACAGAAACAAGGTATAAAAAAATCGTGGAAAAAGGTGCGTTAACGCAGGATATCCAAAGGATTCAAGATATTGCTGCACAAATGTCAGCGCTGCAATTGTTTAGTTACTATTTGTGAAGTTTTTAGTTTAAACAGGGTAAAAATTAACAGCCCAGTGTAAGTTTCCCAACATTTTTATCGATTGTGAAAGTGCATAGGATTCGTGAAGCAATTTTATTAATTTTAAGAATATTTTCCTTAATATTTTACGTTGTTTTTTTAAATTAGATAGGATTTGCCCTTGCGCCGACGTGATTTTGTTGATGTGATTTATTACCTTGAATGAAAGAGA